TGGTTGCTCACTGTCCTCACCTGTGGTTTCTTCTCTCTTGTACCAAGGGCCCGATGTTAGTCTCCACGCTGGGAGTGTTTGTGCAGCAAGAAACTGCCGTGGGATGAGCGAAAATCTAGAGGAAATGAGAGACTAGGGACGATTTTGAGGCATATTTAGTTCATCTCCCTTTTAGCGGTAACATAACCGTACAGAATCGCGGGGCATTGGGATTTTTGTACATTTGCAGGCGCCTGCTTTCTCGTCAGGTTTCTGGTTTTCGTGATTGAGAGTCTTAGAACTTGTTAATTATGAGCCGTTCGTGTTAACAGTACTTTGTATTTTAACCTTTGGTAGAGGTGTAAAAAGTCTTTCTAACCACAGAAAACAGAGGTTGGAAATCTCTCTTAGGCAGACACCAGCAGGCTTAACCAAGACTTTGAAGTATCTTGTCTATAGTAAGACCACATAATTTTCATTTGTATTTGTTGCTTGATAAAATATTTAAGAGTGAGATACTTAGTAAGTTTTTAAACCCGCGTACTTTCCTACAAAATCTTTATTTCGTGAAGCTGGTCATTTGCTATTGATGCTTATTTCTGCATTTGCTGCAGCAAAACGTGTACGCTGGTTGGCTGCAAGTCTGTCTGCACGGTCTCTTCTGGCAATTTTGGGCTCTTCATTGGTATTTGGACGGTAGACTGTTTCAGATAGCGAGACCATGTTAGAAGGGAAGGGGTCCAGTGAATAACATTCAGTGTTTCATCTCTGTTTCTTACGACGATATTTCATTATTTCCATATTCTTTCTAAAGCGATCTCATACTTTGTTTCCTGATAGAATAAGAAAAAAAATTTGTGTTTAACTTGAGCATCTAATTTTTTTTGATTCCGCCACTCTTTCTCTTTTCTCTCCAGCTGCTTTCGGGGGGTGGGGGTTTCCAGTACCCTCCCCCCCATCTCCGTCCTCTCTTCGCGAGCTCTCTGCCCTCCCGGGCTCCTCTCTCCCCCAGTTCCTCTCTCCGCACCACGTACCTGCCGAGTTCTGTGGTTCAGGCTGTGCAAATTGTGTTAATCCTCAGATCAGTTTTCTAGGCGTGCGGGATGGCTTGGTGTTGATCTGGCTGCATTTCAGGGACGAGAGATGCACTAAAGAACTTCCATTGTGCTGCGCCATCTTGGCCCCTCCCCCGTTTTGTTTTTTTTTTAATTGCTAAAGAATGTTGTTTTTTTTTTTAATTTTTTTTTTTCCAACGTTTTTATTTTTGGGACAGAGAGAGACAGAGCATGAACGGGGGAGGGGCAGAGAGAGAGGGAGACACAGAATCGGAAACAGGCTCCAGGCTCCGAGCCATCAGCCCAGAGCCCGACGCGGGGCTCGAACTCCCGGACCGCGAGATCGTGACCTGAGCTGAAGTCGGACGCTTAACCGACTGCGCCACCCAGGCGCCCCAAGAATGTTTTTTAAAACTACTTTGATTATTGCTGGTGAAAGTTTAAGAGTAAAAATTGGTTACCTTCCGCAAGATGCTCTCTAACCCTTACCCCCAAACAGCAGGATTTCCTTTTTTTTCTTTAATTTCCTAGGCTGTAGTCAATACAGTTCCTATGTGGATGTATTTTATCTCCTGGGCTTTAGGTAAGGTTCCTGCGGGTAGGGCGTGGCCCATTTTGTCCCCAGCCTGTGTCTCGGGAAGGATAGCTCCTGCCCTTGCACATCCGGGTCCTCCGTGCCCGTGCCCCACCCACCTTCAGCGGGAGTCCCGGGACCCCCAGCCTGAGCAGAGCCCTGGCTTGTGTGCTCTGGGACTGGCTTCACGGGGCCTTCGTCCACGTTTCCCTCACTGACCTAGGACAGCCTCCGATGGCGCCGTCGCCCTTCGTCACCTTGGGACTCTGGACATCGGTGCCTCAGGCTTCCACCTGCCGATGCCCCCAGCTGAGCCTTCTTGATTCCCCTGAGAAGAGCCTGGCTCTTCCCCGGGGCGCCTCTCCCTCTGCAGTCCCTGTCACCTGGTGGTGGTTTTTCAACTGGGGCCTGGAGGCCACTTGTCCTGGAGCGAGCTGGGCACCCTTTCTGTCTTTCTAGCTTCCTCCCTTTTACACCTGAGTCCAGCTGTTTGTCAGCTGCCGATTCCGTGGCCTTAACGCTTTTGCACTGTTCGTGGCCCCTATAATGTTCCAGTTGATGAAGTCTGATTCACCAGTTTTTTCTTTTATGGTTGTGCTTTTGGTGCCCTAAGAACTCTTGGCCTAACTCAAGTTCACAGAGATTTTCTGTTAAGTTTCTCCTGTGTTTCTTCTTCTAGAGGGATTTGTACTATATATATCTATTTTGAGTAAACCTTTGTACTGGTACCAGTAAGGGCTGTTTTTGTATGTGGATATCCAGATGTTTCCCGCACCGTTGATTGAAAAGGTGATCTTTGTCTCACTGCAGTGCCGTATACTTTGGTCAGAAATCAGTTGTCTTTTATGTGTGGCTTTATTTCTGGACTCTCTCTCTTCCACTCCACCCATCTGTTGGTCTGTTTTTATGCTAACATCATTCTTTTTTGATTACTGTTTCTTGAGAATAATTCTCGAAGTCAGGTAGTGTTTTCCTTTCAACTTTGTTTTTTTGTTTTCAGAGTTGTTTGTCTAGTGTAGGTCCTGTGGATTTCGATATGACTTTTAGAATCAGCTTGTCAATTTCTGTAAAATATTCAAATCAAAAATCCCTGCTGGGATTTTGATTGGGATTGCATTGAGTCTAAAGATAAATTTAAGGGAGAATTAATATCTTATTAATACTAAAGCTCCAGCTGTTCTTGACGAAAGGGAACAGAAGGCTGTGAGTTCATGGGACTGAGGCTATGCAGGAAGTACAGACAGCCCCCTGCACACGGATGAAAATTCCTAGAGAACCAAGAGCTACTGAACAGTTTGACCAATTCTTTATGTTTAGAAATGTGCACTTGGAGGCAGATTGCTGTACCAATTTGACACGATAGCCTTGTCGTGTTTTTGTTCATATTGTCGTATTATTAACACAAGAATTTCTGCACTGCATTTTACCATCACCTGTTTTCTTTAAACATGTACTTGCAAGGAAACTCCATAGAAATGAATGGAAATCACTGCACAATACCTAAAAATTAAAGGCTATTAAATATAAACTGTGTCTGTGATGTGACAGAATGGTACCTCTTCCTCAGAAATGTAAGACCATGATTGCGGAGTCAGAAAAGGATATATTTTTTGTTTCAAAATATTTAAAAATTATTTACTACATTTATTCCATCTTATGATTATGGCTGTTTCTTTCTCTGCTTTCTAAATGGGTCTATTACAGAGAATATAGAAAAGCAGAAGGAACAGTGGAATGGATAGTAGGAGAGAAAATAAAATTAAGTGATAAGACAGGAATTCTTTTGAATAATACTCAGTAATAATGAGATCAGTATGGTACATTTACTGCCTGGTGCTTAGCTGTAGAAAACATAACAGTGGGAGTACAGACAAGAAGCTTGAAGGGGCCAAATGAAAAAGTAACTAAAATAGACATTCTTCTGTAAGTATACTTTCTGACTATCAGTAGATGTACTTACCAGTTATGAAGGTATCTGAAGATTTGTTTCACAGTAATGCTAAAGAACATTGGTACTCTATTTTATTTTTGTTTTAATAAAAGATGCCAGAATCGTCTTTTGTTTTTTAATGTTTATTTAGTTTTGAGAGACCACATGTGCAAGCGGGGGATGGACAGAGAGAGAGAGAATCCCAAACAGGCTCCATGCTGTCGGCACAGAGCTCGACACGGGGCTTGAGTTCACGAACCGTGAGATCATGACCTGAACTGAAATCAGATACTCAACCATCTGAGCCGCCCAGGCACCCCCAAACATTGCTGTTTTATAATATGAATAAAATATAGCTTCCCCCAATAGTTCCATTCCTTATGTGCTTACTGTATAATTGAGGAATGTAGAAAAATAAAATACAAAACTTCTGGATATCCTCAAAACATATCTTTAGGAACAGTTGTGGTACTCTTGAAACTGAGCTGCTTTAAGAAGTAATTAGGAAATAAGTTTGTACTAAGTTGAACGTGGTCGAAAAGTCAGTAGTATGACTGGTAATGTTAGTTTTTGATAATGTGATGTGGGCTTACTTCCTGTCCCGTTAGCTTTCAGAATAAATTGAATGTAAAGACAGGCCTTTCCCCATGTTAAAAACGGTGGTCACGAAAAGGTAAAAATAGATCCACAAGGCTGTTGCTAGTTCTAAAAGGGAGATTGACAGAGGGAGGGGGACGTGGAGGAGGGAGGGCAGGAGGGAAGGGGAAGGGTTCGGAGTCCCAGGGAGAGAGAGAACTTGAGTAAGTTTCGTTACTTATGTAGAAAGGGTGTCTCAAATTGTGCATTCAATATTTCATCTACTCTGCGTGATGTTAACTTTGTCTTAGAGGCTTATATGTTAAGTTTTATAGGTGCTTATTGCAGACTGGATATGATACAAATAATCTAAGAATTTACACACCGTATCACGTGGATGAATCACTGTTTGTAATAAAGCTGTCAACCGTATCGGTATCAGTTATCAGTTCTGAAATGTCGGTGATTTTATACATCGTTTTCTTTACTTCTGTCAGTTCTGTGTCCATCAGTGCCATTTACAATGTTAATACAAGGATACATCTTCCTGTTATTCACTCATTAAGTCATCTTGAGTGCTATTCTGATGGTCAGTACTGGACCCAGACCTGAAATAATGGTGGATTTGGGAAGAACATTCCGGTTGGAGCCCTCTCCCGTACCCCACGTCTTTTACTGGGGACAGTTACCTGTTCGTATTTGGGAGCTAAGAGAAGTTCATTTTTGGTGACTGTGTAATCAATTTATTTTGAAAGTATAAGTACAGATAAATTTCTAGTGTTTTTCCACCCCAAAAGTTATTTCTGGAGTATTATTTGCTAATTGAAATTTTAACTTGGTGTGCTGTTGTTTCCTTGAGTTGATTATACTTCTTCTTTTCTTTAAGGTAAAGTGCAAGTTAAGAGTTCAGACATACAAGTTGGAGACCTCATCATAGTGGAAAAGGTTGATGCATTTTTAATATATTTTAGACGTGTGTATGCCGGTGATTAACATTTAGCCTGATTGCAGTAACTTTGAATCTAAAAGAAATTGTATGAGACAGTTATTTTAAGTCTTAACATCTTTTGTAAGATAGCATATATATGAAGAAGAATCTAGTTTGTTTTTGCTTTAGTACATTTCATTGTGTGCAGGTGAAATCATATTTTGTCTAAAAACAAGACCTGTGTTAACTGCTTAATATTGTATTACTAGAATTATTTCATTTGATGAAAAAACTGTATTAGTTAGAACCTATTTATAATAGAATATGTTTCGTTTTCTAAAACTTCCTATTATAGATAGATATATTACACATAAGAATTGGATATTCTTATGGTTTAGAATTTACCTTAAAGAAGGGAGGGTCAATGGAAGTCAGAGAATATTGGGAAGAAACGGCTCAGGTCTGTGGAGGCGGAAGCCGCTCAGAAAGCCTGTCAGTGTCAGTGGTGGAAGCTGCCAGCGGCCTGGGGTGAGCAGGCTGACTGCCTGTCGGAGGGGGGGGGTGCTTCTGCCCACATCCCTGAGTAATGGCCACTGAGCAGGTAGCCTCTTTGTTTTTTTCAAAGGCTCTAGGACAACTTTTATTTTATTTTATTTTATTTTATTTTATTTTTAAAAAAATTTTTTAATGATTTTTGAGAGAGAGACAGAGACAGAGTATGAACAGGGGAGGGGCAGAGAGGAGACAGAATCCGAAGCGGGCTCCAGGCTCCGAGCTGTCAGCACAGAGCCCGACTCGGGGCTCGAACTCACGAACGGCAAGATCGTGACCTGAGCCGAAGTCAGAAGCTCAACTGGTTGAGCCACCCGGGCGCCCTTAGAACAACTTTTAAAAAGTGTCGCAGGAAAAGTTGTAATAAGGCCTCTTACGAGAGTAGTCTGAGCCCTCGGTGCCAGCTGGCACCCGGGCCACGCACCCACCCTGAGCCATGTTGTGGAGGGGTTCAGTACCAGAAGGCCTTTCTCCTCAAGACCAGCGTGGGCTTTCTCTTGCTGCTTTCATCTCTACATCGGCCATGTTTTTAGGTCTGCTTGTTTGATTTTACAAAAAGGATTAAAATTGAACACACTGATGTGCAACTCGTGTGTGTGGCATTTGGTCATATGGACGTTGTAAGTCACTAGCTTTGATCCGTGGTTAGATTTTCGGATGGTGTCTTTGTTCTCCTCTTACAAAGCGCTGTGTGAATATCCTCATACACACACCTCTTCGCGCTTCTGTAGGGTAAATGCTGATGACAGATGACTGAGCCAAATGAGAGTCCGCTGCCAGTGTCCAATACCTCACCCTTTCTGTGGTCAGGCACCTGGGTCCTCGCTCCGGGTCCCTCTCATGGCTGTAGTCAGCCAGGTGGCCATCGCCTCCAGCTCGTGGGGGCTTGTTGGCAGGTTCAGGGCCTTGGTTCCATGAGCTTTTGGCCGGAAGGAGGCCGCCTTCGTTCCCGGCCACAAGGTGGGAAGGCTGGGAGTCCTCCACAGGGCAGCTCCCGGTGGCCCGTCGGGACAGAAGTGGGTAGCCAGCCCCATGGATTGCGGGCTGGGACCTGTGCCGGCAGTGACACCCATCGCGTGTTGTTTCCTTCTCAAGAGGCTGCGTGGTGTTGATGGTGGTGTTTAAGGAGCAGAGAGAGTCTCTGTGGATCGGGGAGCACCGCTTGGCCTTGTCATTGTTCCATCTCTCATTTCCTTTGCTCTCTCGTTATTCACGTTCTCCTTCCCTCTCCTGCCAGAGTTGATGGACTGTTGTGCTCTTCAGTTCTCCCTTTTTTACTGAGTAGCGTGAGTCCTTCTTGGCCACGTTGCGTGTGCTCATCTCTTCTGTCCTGTAGATGGATGTGAAGGTGGACGTCGAGATCAATGTGGGGCGTTCCCCTTGGGCCTCTCTCTGGCCTCCCAGGTGCATTCTCCATCTGTGAGAGACGGATGAGGGACATGGGCCTTTGTCGACATCCAGGAAAAGGTTTTACGGTAACGGGGCAGCTGCCCATCTTCTGTTTTGTCCCTGCAGTGTTCCACGGGTAGCGCAGTGTGGGTGGCACTCCCAACACTAGATTGGTATTATTACACAAGCATGTGTACGGCCCCTTCTCTACCCTGATGTTGAGAGATTCGGTAGCAGAGCTACAGGAAGAACTTCTAAAATATTTTCACTAATCTTCAGGAAATGTTATACACTAAAAAATAGGGGTGACACCTGTACCTGATTTAGTTTTTTTACATTGCCAGTTTTACACCTACTTTCACATAAAAATTTTCCACATATTTTAGTTACTTAAAAAACTTGAATATTTAGAATCTTGAGACATAATTTCTGGTAATTGCTATGAAGTGATAAGTTTTCAGTAGTGAATTTATATTTGTTAAACCAACTTTGTGGCTTTTTTAGGGATAAAAGTTTTTGTCTTACTGACTGACTAACCGTCATAAGGAAATGGCAGTGATATGGTAGCAAATGGTTTTGTCTTTTTACTTTTTATTTAAGGATTCTGGAAATACTTGTCACTAACCAGAAAGTTACTTCTCTGTTATTTGACCACATTGCTACTTAGAAATCAATCCTTGGATACTTCCTTGGTGGATGTTATGTTGGAGGGTAGCTCTTCTAATTCTGTATCCTGATGTGGAATTACAGTTCGTATATGGATAGTCATTGTGTAGATATTTGAGGCACGCTGATCGAGTTTGGCCCGGTGCTGCTGATGCTGGGAGTCGTGCAACTCACGGGAGAGCAGCAGCTGGGCACAGTGGGCAAGGGGAGATGTGGGCTTCGACGCCAGATGGATCTGGGTGTAAACTCCCAGTTCTCCAGCCTCAACCCCTCCCAGGAGCAGCATCTCTTTGATGCGCACTTGGAAAGTGGTAGGCTAGATCCATTCAGAGTCAGGGTCGGGTTATGCACGCAAGGCAGAGAAAGAAAATCCGAAGGTTGTCTCCTGGCTGAACAAGGAACCAACCCTCCGAAGAAGTATCTAAAATTTTAGACAGACACGTCAATTTAAGTATGAATACTTGAGGAATGTGTCAGGCAGGTAACTGTTTGTAACAAGAGACTTTGAAAAGTTGAAGGTTGTCCAGGTCGTTGTCCAGGTCCTAACACCCGACTCTGAAGTCCAAGTGTTTGAGAAGGATCCAGAGGACACAAGCAGGATTGAAGTTGACACTGTTGTTGAGTCCTTCTTCTGCTCAACCAAAATGAGCAAGAAAAGAATATCTTCTTTTTTTTCACAGCTGAATTGAAAGACAGTTTCTTTATCCTATTTTTTTAAGGTAATGCAATTTAATAAATATTTTCAACAATTTTACCAAGTATTACAATGTATATTTTAATACCCAGAACAGACATGACAAAAACTATGCAGAGAGAGACAGTCTGAGATCCTGTAAATAAACTGAGATGGGCTTCTGAACAGGTTTCCGGTAACACACCAGAAGGCAAGAAATTAGAAACGGAGGAGTGAATACCAGGGGAAACCTGACAACAGAAAACAGATCAGAAAATGCAGTCTTCTGTAATGTGTCAGTAATTTATGTTCATTGTGAACCGTCTAAATATACCAATCCAGAGACAGGCAGAGTGGATGAAGAAAGGAGGCCCAGCCATGCGCCTCTCACAAGGAATTCAAATCCAGTGACACGGGTAGGATAAAAGGAGGTAAAAGAATGGAAAAGGTACACATCGCATAAAATTAATCGGAAGTAGGAGGGGCTGAGTTAATATCCAGTGAAGGGTAGCTCAGAGCAAAGAAAATTATTAGAGATGGAGAGACCTTACATAATATTAACAGAGTTATCCACCAGGAAGACGAGACGGTCCTGAAGTTGTACTCACCAGACAACAGAACCACAGAATACACAAATCAAAAATTGTTGGACCTGAACAAAGGAAAAAGATCCACAGTTCTGAGTGAGAACTTCAGCCCCACCCTCTGAGCATCAGACAGACGTGGTGGGCCAAGCATCGGCACTGACAGAGAAGATCCCCACTGAGTCCGCCAGCGAGATCTGACAAATGCAGGCCGCTCTACCCGACAGTAGGAAGACACACATTTATTTCACGTCGCACCAAGTTTCAACATGCACCAGTTAAAGCAGATCCATAAAAGAAACCTCAAGAAAATGAAAAGAATTTGAAATCATACAGCGTGTTGTTTCATCATGGTAGAGTCAAATCAGAAATTAACAACAGAAAGACAACAGGAGAACTCTAAAATAGGTGAAAAGTAAACAGTGTACTTTAAGTATGGAATCTAGGAAACAAAATGCAACTGTGTGAAAGTGGAATTTCAACATTCAAAATACGTGGTACGCACGTGCGGCGGTGCTGAGTGGGAATTTTGTAGTCGTCAACACCTACGTTAGAAGGACGTCAAAGTCTCAAGTTAATGGTCTAAGTCCCTGGCTCAGGAGACTAGAAGAGCAGAATGAAAGTAATGTATGCGGAAGGAAGTAAATAGAAGAGCAGGTCAGTGAAACGAGACAGTAAATCAGTGAAAGCAAAAGCTGGTTCTTCTAGACAAATGAATAAAACCGATAAACCTCTCCCAGGAGTGATAAAAATGAAGAGCAGTGACACAAGTCACCAGTCTCCGTAGTGACACAGGGGACATTACTGCTGATCCCAGGCCATCGAACGGAGAATCACGGATTCCCACCGAGAGCTGTACGCTCCCTAGCACACCAGCTTCGACGAAAGGGACCACTTCTTCCGAAACCACAAACCATCAAAACAGTCAAAATGGAACAGGTGATGTGATGGTTCTACAAACAGTAAGGAAGTGGAGTTAGTAGTTTCAAATCTCTGAGAAAGGGGCGGCTGGCTGGTCCAGTCGGAAGTGTGTGTGACTCTTGATCTTGGGGGTGTAAAGATTACATAAAATTAAAACAAATAAAAATGACGTTACCATCGGTGTTTCAGTGACTGCGATGGGGACTGCGATGGGGATGAGAGGAAATTGCTT